CCTGAAGCTCTGCAGAGGTAGAGAGGAAGACAGCAAACATAGCCGACTGGGGCTCAGGAGCAAGCACAGAACAGCTTCAAACAGGCTCTTCCAGCCTCCTGAGGAGCCCCAAAGGGACACGCGTGCCTCATGAATGACCTTGTAGGGGAACCTGTCACAGGGGCCAGGACACAGCTGCCACAGGTACACCCCACTGCCTTCCAGCCATAGGAGACAAGTACTGGGGAGCTATGTTTTGATGGGGGGTCTGAGGGTTAGGCAACACTGGCCACCACCTCTTGGAGTACAGCAAAGGGGGAGTCAGTGTCATGGAGACCTCTGTGGCCTGGGGCATGGAAAGGGCACACAGGAGCAGACTTACTGGTTATGAAGAATCAGGAGACACCCCACCCCCACCCCAGACTTTCTAGAAGTTCTCAGCAACAGCTCCCCCATGGAATGCAGAACAAAAAACGTTATGGCAATGAAACACTTTTTGACAACTCATGAAAGGGACCCTAGGAAGGACCCAGAAGACTTCCTAGCCAAGGATGGACTTTCTGGTCCATGAAAGATTATTATCCATCGGGTGGCTGGGACAGTTCACACCGATGCTCAATTTGACAGGATCTAGCATTACCTAGGAGACGGATCTAGGAGGCAGTTTCTATATTGGGTTAACTGAGGTGGGAAAACTCACCCTGTATGTGGCTGGGGGGGGGCAGGACTAAGTGAAAAGGAGGAAGTGAGCTGAGCACCAGCGTTCACTTCCCTCTGCGTGCTCACTGCATTTACAAAGTGACCAAGCCCCTGCCGTCATGAGGTCTTGCCATGATGGACAATCCTGTCAAACTACGGAACCTAACAAAAACAAGCCCTGCCCCTCCTAAGCGTGCTTTTGTCACAGCATGAGAACAGTGTCTAACAAAGGCCTCAAGCTCAGGGGTGCAAGCGTTCAGATAAGGTCCCCGTTATCCAAGAGCCCTCGCTGCCGCTTCCTTCTCCTTGGGTACAGTCAGGCAGCCACGGAGCCAGGCCACCAGCTCTTAGCAGACGCACTGCGGTAGGTGACTACTGGTATTTGCACGTCTCTAGAGGCCCTGCTCCGTCCACCTCTGACCACAGGCATGCCTCTTTTCTCACAGTTGTCTCTCGTAAGACCCAAACCTAGCGAGCCTCCCTGCACACTTCCTCCAAGGCCTCACAGAAAGGCTATCTGCGGGACCTGCCTCCTGGAGAGCGGGCTCAGCTCTGGAGATCAGTGGCTGGACCCAGGGGTGTGTATTTTTCCAGCATCTCCTCTGTTGACCTTTAGTGGCACTGTTTGCCCAGCTTCCCAAACCATTAACTTGCACCTCCCAGCAGCCACACATCAATTAACGGAGGGCCTGCTCCAAGCTTGAGCTCCTGAACACAATTAAGCGTGACAGTCCACAAATAAGAAAGAACTGGAGAATTAATTAAGGTCTAAACAAATTAATTACCAGTCCCCAATCAATTCTGATGCCAGCACACATGCTCCCAGGCTCACCTTCTTTCCTACCGTCTCCATGTATAAATAGAAACCAAGATCTCCCACATGACTGCTGTTCTAGACCAGGGCAGGGTGTTGTGGGTGCAGAAAAGCTCCCTGAGAGACAGCAGTGGGTGGCTGCAGGGGGCACCTGGGTCTTGCTCCCTAGCACTCGGCACTCACATGCACATAAGTGCTCACACAATCCTAGATGAAAAGTCAGGGGTATTCTTGGAGATGGAATGCTCACTGGAAGACACTGCATAGTCTGGCCACCTCCAGGACACACATCTATGTTTCAGCTCCAAAGGCAGGTTTCACGAGATTGAGTCGCCCTGGGTGGGCGTTGGGAGGCCTCAGCTCTGGGTGCAGGGTATAGTTCTGAGTTGGAATTTGTATTCTTTTGTAGGATGAGGCGATTAGCTCTGCCTTTGGTCCCTCCCAGCACTGAATGAGGCACACCGAAGGGCAAAGGAAAGGAGGCCTAGGTGGCCCCTAGGTCTGGGCTCTGCAAACCTAGTGCAGGCCTGTGACATTGTTGAGGTGGTCCCAGGATAGAGCAGCAGACTTAGACAAGGGGACCGTGAATTCTGGCCTGGGGTGGGGTGGGTGAGTAACTTGGGCCTGCAGAGGCCCCAGAGATGCCTAGATGCCTAGACTTTCAGCTGCACAGGCATCTAGAGGAGCAAACCAGAGAAGACAAACACAGCAACTCCAGAGGCTTCCCTTGTTTGCCTGGGAACAGAGGGGTGGTTGTGGTCTTTTCAGGACATCCTCTCCCAATCCACTCCTTCCTACGAGAGAGTCCTCCCATCATCCTGGTGCCCTAATGGGAAAGTGGCCTTTTACATGGTGAAGTAGCTTCTGAGCAAGCTTCTCTGAGGCTGGCAGTAGCTAGCCAGCCTGCTGCAGAAAGTAAGGGCCAGCGGCTTTGAGATGCTCTGTCCCGGTCAGGGCAGGACATGGTACAGAGAACCCAAGTGCAGGGAGCAGATGATGGCTTTGACCTCACATCACACTGTGGCAATCACTCACGAGGGTGAAGAATGGAAGCCTCTTTGCAGATGGGCCTGTTTCTCCCAAGGTCCTGGGGGTGAGGACCGGCAAGTTGCAAACATAATGTTACAACTGGCTACGGATACAGGGGCCTCGAGCATGTGGCAGAGGCTGGACTTGAAGGGGAGGGCTGAAGGCTGTCCCAAGAAGAAGATGGGAAGGGAATCAGGCTAAAGCTGAGAGGAACAGATCAGAGTCTCAGAACAGAGGAAAGGCCTGCCCTCCTGAGGGAGTCCCAGAGAGGGTAAGACCAGCTCAAGGTCACACAGCACAATGCAGGCTGGACATGGCTGGAACAAGCCACTGGCAAAGTTCTTATCTGAGGCTTGCCCCCTCCATCCCCCAAGTCCCAATTACATCTCTGTGGAGCCTCAGAGCCAGTCTAGGCTGCCTCGGACCCTCCAGCCCTGGTGGCTGTGAGCCCAGCCACTGAGTAGCCACGTATTTTGCTCAATTAGACCCCATGATGAAGTCGGCTCTAAAGAGTTATTCCATTAATGGCCCACGGCAGAAATAGCTAAGAGTTCATTACAAGTGTGGAGTTGCTATAGCAATTATCTGGGTTGGCTAGGCTCCACTGGGTGGTTGGTTCTGGGAATTTATTAGCCGCTGGGCGTGGAGCGGGTGAGGTCACCCCATTCTGTAGGTACTCCACAGCAAGTTCCTGTCAATGGAGTCTGGTATGTGGCCTCCTATGCAGCTCTGGGCCATAGATGGAGAATACCAAGCCTACATATTACATACAGGAAGCTGGGGCCTGAGTGGAAGGTTAGGTCAGGGTTATGAGCTGGGGGAGACTCTGTTTTCAGAGTGAGCACTGACAACAGAAGGTTCCAGAACCCTCAGGTCCCAGGATGGGCTGGTCCCCACCTTTGTCCTCTGACAAAGATTCTGAGAGGGAAACTCTGACTCGGGGTTCTAGTACTCATGTATACTTCTTTTAAGAACAAATGTTAAACTGCTTTGTGCTGCTTCTACAGTTATTACTAAAATAAAACAAAACTTTGCACAGTGGTCTCCATTCCTGAAACTGGGTGCTGCTTCCTGAGAGCCAGGCCAAGCTTTGTAGCATCCTAAGGATCCAGAAGAAACTGTGAGTTGCCCTGTGGCCAGGGGCCCCTCTGACACTCAGGTGAAGACTAAACATCCCTCTCAGATTAATATTTCTATATGCATAAAACAAAATTCAAAAGATTTATAAAGAGATTAAAAAAGGTATCAAAATTTTTTATTGTGATTCAGTAATAGATGTGCCTTTAAATTTATTTACTTGGCGGAGGCATGTGTGAATACCAGAGGACAGCTTTCGAGGACCAGTTCTCTCCTTCCATCATGTGGGTCTTAGAAACCCACATGTGTTGTTACCTGTAGCCCAGGCTGGCCTCAAGCTCACTATACAGCTAAGGATGATCTTAGCCTTCCCATCCTCCTGTCCCCACCTCCCATGTGCTGGTATTACAAATGCACACCCCCAAGGTCAGCTAATCAACATGCCTTTTACCTGATGAGAAAGTAAGATGTGGCAGTTGAAGCATCGCATACGATTACTTGGGTTAACCCTGCACAGAAGCAAGACTTCCAGGCCTCTGAGCAACATCTACAATGTGGCATGGAATGCCGTGACAAAGCCCCATGTCCTGTTTTTTACTATTTGCTGGGAATACTCATGATATAAAGAATAAAAATTTTTATTAGAGTTTATTGTGAAAACTTTTCACAGTCCACAGGATCCATTGTGCTCTGTCTGCTGATGTTATCAGCCTGGAGATCCAGGTTAGGAATATCCCTGTGCTGGGCTGGAGATATTGACAGAGTGCTTGCCTGGCACACAGGATGCCCTGGATTAAATCAACAGCATCCAATAAACCAAGAGTTTATTAGTGTACATGTGTAATCCTACCACTGGGGAGCTGGAGACAGGAGTACCAGAAGTCCAAGGTCATGCTCCATTATATAGCAAGTTTGAGGCCACTCTGGGATACATAAGACTGTCTCGGAACAAATGAACCAACAACCAACCTCTGTACCAAGTCTCCCAGGAGTCTGAGGCTAGCCTGCACTACATAGTGAGTGCCAAGCCAACCTAAGCTACGACTTTGTCTCAAACAAAGGGCTGAGCGTGTGACTCGGTTGCTAGAATGCTTGCCTTGTGTGCATGAAGTCCCAGGTTGCACCCCCAACACCACAAAACAAAATGAGCACACGAGAATTTGTACCAAAGCTGTATCTCATGCACTGAGATGGTGGGTCCTGCATTTCTATCGGTGTATGTTTTGTGTGCATCTCCCAATCACAAGTTTGCAGACATCAGGGAGATATGATGTTGAAGAGCCACCATCCACTCACCCAGGTGCTTGGAAGTCTCCCAGACCCCCACCATGCAATATGCACACGCGAGCGTGCGCGCGCGCGCAGACACACACACACACACACACACACACACAGATCTTACCTACTGCAGGGAAGGGCACAAATCTCTGCACAAGAAGGCGAGTGGCTGGGGTGAACTTGTTGGCTTTCTGAACCAGCACATTAAGGCCCACCTTGGAAAGCAAAGAAAACAGAAGATTCACGATGCTGCAAGGGCTTATGGGAGGGAGGAGCAGAACTGGAGGGACAGCAGGAGGAGATCCCTCCAATTTCTTTCACACCCCACACCCGGGTGCAGCCCTTCTGAGGCCAACTGGGCCTGCCAGCCTCTAGCCTTTGCTGACCGGTCCCGAGGTCTGGGGTGACCCACCCTCCTCAGGTCACACCTGTTCCCTCAGGACCAGCTCTGATGTCTACCACCTCTGTCACTTACTAGCAGTGGGACCTTATGCAGGTGACTCATTATTCTTTCTCTACTTCACTGCCTGGTGGTAGAAAAAGGACAGTTATTTCTACCACATTCAGGGTTTGCAATAAGAATGTACTTACAAGGAGTGAGCTTGACACACAAGAGGGCTCAGTAAGCACCGCCATGTGACGATGTTACCTCTCCCTGTTTCCCCGGTACCTCTCTCCGAGGACTTAGTCCTGGGCTCATCAGTGTGGCCCCTAACCCTGAACCCGTGGGGAGGGAAGGACTGCAGGCCTTTTATATGTGCACTCAGCACTGAATGCTCAATGAGCTGGTGGTTGAGGAACAGGTACAAGCAGACATTGGATGGAGAGCTCCACACAGGTGAGAGGGGGCTTCTCTGGGGGACAGGAAGGTAGATTAGGTCATCAGAGGACTATCTAGAAGAAACTAGATGAGCAGTGGGCATGGAGAGAGACAGCAGATGTGACTCAGAAGTCTTTGTACTCCAGACTGATACAGACAGCCCTGGTCTGATGGTCCATCCTAGGAAGAGGAGGCAGTAAGGGCCATGGCAAGATCTGGTCTGTATTCAGCTCTGGACTCCTGGTGGCTTAGCAGGCGACCCTGTGCTCTTAGCCTGGCCCCTTTTGGGTCTTGGGGCTTTGGGAAACCTCAAGGAGGCTGAGTGCCTAAAGCAGAGCAGGAACAGCTGGGCCCAGGCTCCAGTGCAAGGGCGTGGGACAACAGTGCCAGCCAACCATCCGCCAGGCAGCCAGACACTCCTGCCTGGACTCTCAGTGCTGCAGGCTTATCCTAACTACCATGCCGATGTTCGGGGGCCCGCCCATGTCCTCCCTGCTTACTTGGGGCACGCTGAGTGACAGGAACTGACAGCTTATCCATATATGAAGTATACAACGGGGCCTTTCTGAATGCCACCGGCCCATCCTAGGTACTGCTGCTCGGATGGAGCTCGTCAAGTCCAGGTAACCCCAGCTCTCAGCAATGAGTGACTCAGAAACGGCATCCTGGGCAAGTGCTCTACCACAGAAACACACCCCAGCTATCACATGCAATGTCTTAACAAGACGTTTCTACCAACAAGAGGCAAGCTCAGAGAGGATCGGCGACTTTGCCGAGGACAGACAGCTATGTAGTGGCAGGTAAAACTAGGATTTGAACCCAGAGCCTGCCAGTTCCAAAGCTTCACCCCCACTTTCCAATTGGCCTCTGTGGTAGTTAACACCATTAACTTGGCAGAATCTAAAATCACCTAGGAAACACCGGGCTGGGTGTGTCTGTAAGGGAGTTTCTAGACTGGGTCCACTGAGGTAGGAAGAGCCACCGTAATGTGGGCCAGGGTCCTGGACTGCATAAAAAGGAGAAAGCAGGCTGAACACCAGCATTCTTGCTTTTCTTCCTATCATGGATACAGTATGGCGAGCTACTTCCACGTCACCAGGCCTTATTGCCATGATAGACAGTATCCTCAGACCATGAGCCCAGCTGCAAACCCTCCCTTCCTAAGGGTATTCTTGTGGGTGTTTGATAACAGCAATGAGAATGCAATGGACACAGCCTCCTTCTCAAGAAGCAATGGCCGGACACCCCTAGAACCATGGAGCATGTGCATAACATCGGATCCCAGACAAAGGCCCACTAGGCATTGGGGCCCCGGGGTTGCATAAATGGGAGGTAGGGCCTTTGATGTATGTGGCAAAGGCCCGCACACATATTTAGAAAGATGAAGTATTGAAGGAGTAGGAAGCAGGAGTCGTGGGGAAGGGAGCAAGGAGGTCCCAGCCTCTCCATGGCTGCCAGCTTCCTGGGACTGGGCAGAGCCGGAATGCAGGGGGAGAGAGACTAGAGACAATTGCTCACAGCCAACACTGAGACTTGCTGTACCAGTCTGAAACTGACCCCTCCCTGGCTGGCCATTCTCCCCACTGGCTAGTACTGTCACTGTCTGGAAGGGGTAACCTAGCTGGTTTGCCCCATGCCAAGCGGAAACCTGGGGTAGGAAAGGACAGCCGGAGTCTCCTTGGAGCTGCAGGAAGCTAGTCTTCTCTTTACTTCTCACCAGTAGCTCCGACCTCACAGTCCCCTTGGAGACAAGTGGTCACACAAGGCCCTGTGCCCCCTTTGGACAGTAGTCGTTAGCCCACAGGCCCTGAGATGGGGCATGGCCATACCAGGAGTTCGTGTGCAAATCTCTACCTTGTTTGTTTTCCCCCTCTGCCCAAATGGAGCCCCTGTTTGGTTAATTTCTGTTTTGTAGCTTATTTGGAGGCTGTTAAAACAGACCCTGGGGGACCCTCGGCAATGGCTGTTCCATATCTCATTATCTTTCCTGAACCTGATTATTAGCTCTGATTCTTCTGATCGCTAGCTGCTGTTCGTGATGAGTTGTGTGCCATTAATGCCAGCTGGTTCCTCTTAAACAGGACCTACCATGCCAGGGAAAATGAGCTGGCATTCCGAGCCTCCAGCCACTTGGCTTTTTAATTTTAATGGGCTTCACCAAATGTTCCAGGCCAAAGGACCCTGAGAAACAAGAACAGACGGGCTTCAATCCTGAACTGCAAGCCTCCCTGGGATCCTTCCCAAACTGTCTGTCTCTGTCCAAGGTTCTGGGGGCAGTGTGGCTGGGTGTTGAGGAGTTGAGGGTAAGTGGCCATTTGCCTCCTCCGGAGGTGTCTTTGGCACATAACCCATACCCGATGCCAGTGGGTGGGCGAGGCAGCCATATTGCCTCCTGGTAAACTCCCAACTGGGAATGGACCTTATCTCCACTTTGGAGTGCCCAGATCCCTCTCTGGGCATGGGTATGTTGGCCTACTTTTAGATAGATATGTTTCTTGCTAAATTTCACCCCAGCCATGTGGGGCCTGCTAGTTTTGTTTTGGGTTTTTTGTTTTTGTTTTTTTAATACTTCATTGTTTGGGGGGTTCTTTTGTTTGTTTGGGTTTTTGTTGTTTTGTTTTTGTTTGTTTTTTTTGTTGTTGTTGTTTTGAGACATGCTTTCATGTAGTCTAAGACGGCTTCACAATAGCTGAGGATGACTTTGAACTCCTGATCCTCCAGCCTCTATATCCTAAGTGCTAAGATTAAAGGTGTGTGCCTGGTTTATTCAATGCTGGGGATTGAACCCAGATCTTCCAGCACGTTCAACAAGTACCGGACCAACTGAGCCTGCTAGCTCCCCACTCCACCTTTTAAAAAGAACAGCATTTAAATTTTTATTTTCATTTCATTTTTATCTATTCACTTATGTTTTGAGATATGATCCCACTATGTAGCCCTGGATGGCCTATAATTCACTATGTAGAACAGATTGGAGTCAAACTCACAAAGATCTGCCTGCCTCTGCCTAGAGTGCTGGGATTAAAGGCGTGTGTCACCATGCCTGGTAACTTTGTTGTTGTTGTTGGTTTGTTTGAGACAAGGTTTCTCTGTAACTTTGGAGGCTGTCCTGGAACTCACTCTGTAGATCAGGCTGGCCTCAAACTCACAGAGATCCGCCTGCCTCTGCCTCCAGAGTGCTGGGATTAAAGGCGTGTGCCATGACTGCCTGGCTGCTTGGTGATTTTTTTTAACTACTCATATGTGTGTTTCTATGTGTAGATATGTGCACGTAAATGCAGATGACTGTGGAGGCCAGAAGAGGGCATCGGATCCTTAGAAGATGGAGTTAGAGGAAGTGAAAAGCCCAACTTGGGTGCCAGAAACTGAACCTGAGTCCTCTGTCAAAGCAGTGTATGTTCTCACCCACTGAGCCATCTCTCCAGCCCCCAAAGTTTTCTTCTTAAGCATGAGCTGCACACATGAACACCAGGTCAGGTGGGCACCCCATGACATAAAACCTTTAGTGTCTGTCATTAGCTACACAGCCAACAGCAGCCGTCACAGAGACACCAGGTGGACTGAGGCCAGCAGCCATCTCACTTCTTACCGGGCTGTGTCCTTACCCACCCAGGGACACCTCTGTGGCAACAGGCCCTGCGCCTGTACAGCTCCCACTCCACCCACACCCAGGCATCCTTGCTCACTACCAGCTGGAAGGCTTCTGAAGTGAGTTCTGGATGCTTCTGGACAAGAGCTTCTCCAGACCCACAGGGAAGCCACCTGTCCTGTTCCCAGGCATCATGACTGTAGCTCATCTGCCTCTGTCCCCACTCACCCCTGTCACCTCCCCTACCTTCTCCTAAGCAGCTTCCACTTCCGTTCCTCCCACAGCAGCCATAGAAGGGGTCTTCTGAGAGTGAGCACTGCAGCCAATGAGAAGGCTTAGTGGCTAAAGGCACCTGCTGCTAAATCTGTCCCCAGGGCCCACATGTTGGAAGGAGAAAATGACTCCTGAAAGCTGTCTGACCCCGTCCTCCAGGACACACTAAACTTAAAAAAGAAAGAAAGAAAGTGGACAGCAACCCGATTCATAGCCTTCATTGGTTCTCAGGGCATCCAAAGAGTCAAAGAGCCCTGAATGACCTCACCCTACTGACTTGGCGGCTCCTCCTGTGAACTGGCTCTCCCCACCCCCACTCCAGGGCCTCTGAGCACTGTTCCTGTTAGTGCTCCCTTTCAACCTAAATGTCAGACCTCCTCTCCTCTCCACTCAGGGTGCTCCCCTAACAGTTTCTGGAAGAGTCTGGAATTGGAACTTTATGTGGGGTGTTTGTATGCATGTGCCTTGTGTTCATATATACTCGTATGTGTGTGTGTGTGTGTGTGTGTGTTGTGTGTGTGCACACATGCACA